GCATCTTGCTTGTGGGATGCATAGTGACCAGGCGGCAGGCGTGTATCATCTGACAAAGAGAGTACAGCGAAATATTAGCCATCATGTTCCATAATTTTTATTCATCCAAGAAATTTTTCATTCATTCATTCATTCATTCATTCATTCATTCATCCATCCATTCATTCATCCATTCATTCATTCATTCATTCATTCATCTGTCCACTCATCCATTCATTCATTCATTCATTCATTCATTCATTCATTCATTCATTCATTCATTCATTCATTCATTCATTCATTCATTCATCTATCCATTCATTCATTCATCCATTCATTCATTCATTCATTCATTCATTCATTCATTCATTCATTCATTCATTCATTCATTCATTCATTCATTCATTCATTCATTCATTCATTCATTCATCTATCCATTCATTCATTCATTCATTCATTCATTCATTCATTCATTCATTCATTCATTCATTCATTCATTCATTCATCTATCCATTCATTCATTCATTCATTCATTCATTCATTCATTCATTCATTCATTCATTCATCTATCCATTCATTCATTCATTCATTCATTCATTCATTCATTCATTCATTCATTCATTCATCTATCCATTCATTCATTCATTCATTCATTCATCTATCCATTCATTCATTCATTCATTCATTCATTCATTCATTCATTCATTCATTCATTCATTCACTCATTCGTGGAACCTGAGGTGCGTGCGACTTGATGGTGCTCTCCATGTGAGCCGACCAAATGAGTAGAGATTCAGTGCTGGAAACATGTCTCAATAACTTGCAGACCTTCGTCATTATCATCATCACGACCATCGTCATCATCATCACGACCATCGCCATCATCATCATCACCATTGTCATCGTCATCATAATCATTATCGTCATCATCATAATCATTATCGTCATCATCATAATCATTATCGTCATCATCATAATCATAATCATTATCGTCATCATCATAATCATTATCCTCATCATCATAATCATTATCCTCATCATCATTATCATCATGACCATAATCGCTATTATCACCGACGCATCATCACGAAGGTCATCATCATCGTAATCGTCGTCGTCATCATCATCATCAAAATCGTCATCGTCATCATCACCTCTCTCAGCTGTTCAGCGTGGCTTTCAAACTGCTGAATGACCTCGTCTACCAGCTGCATGTTACCCTGAGTGGAGCCACTGCTGGCCATCTAATGAGAAATCACCATCATCATCACCATGATCGTCGTCATCATTATCATCATCACCATCATCGTCGTCATCATTATCATCATCACCATCGGAGAATCGTTATCATCGTCATTATTTTCGTCATCATCTTAAACACCATCCAGATCATCATCATCATTCACATCATCATCATTCACATCATCATCATCAATATCGCCATCATCATAAAAATAAACATCATCATCATCACTACCGACTCTCATATCATTGATGAGTACTTCATCTTCATTCAGCCTGAACAGGTTACTTGCATGATCCATTGTTGTGTTGACCAGCTGAATGTATGAATGAATGAATAAATGAATGAATGAATGAATGAATGAATGAGTGAACGAATGATTGAGTAAATGAACGATTGAGTGAATGTATGATTGAGTAAATGAACGATTGAGTAGTAGTAGTAGTAGAAGTAGTAGTAGTAGTAGAAGTAGTAGTAGTAGTCGTAGTAGTAGTTGTACTAGTAATAGTAGTAGTAGTAGCAGCAGTAGCAGCAGCAGCAACAGCAGCAAGTATTCAAAACCTATTAGCGTCAGCAGTGGCGATTGATACAAAAATAAAATACAAGAACTTGTTTCTTGAGGGTTCGACAGGCTTCTTTAGTTTTCAAAATGGCAGTATCCAAACTCTTCATCTGAGTCGCCATTGGGGAAGACAGCTGGTCCTAAATGGAGATATTGTTTGTTTTCTTTGTTATAGCGGTGTGGCTGAATGTTTGTTTATGGGTGGTTATGTTTTTACTAATGTGTGAGTGTATGTTTGTCTATGTGAGGTTGTTGTATCTATCTGTATCTTTCTGTCCTTTTTCAGTGTGTTGTGTGTGAGGCCGCTGTCTATCCATCGTCTAAAATGTTCGCAATTTCTTTAGAAAAAATATTACTACATTAATGATTCTGGATATTCTAAATTGAAGTTTTTATGTCTTGCACATTGAAGAGAGTAGTTTTTTTCAACGTTCAAAGCCTAGAGAGAAAGAGAGAGAGAGAGAGAGAGAGAGAGAGAGAGTGAAAAAAACACTTGAAAAATGGAAAAACCCATTACCCATTATGGAAAAACCCCATATCTAAAAATAGAACGAAGAAACGAAAAAAAAACTCATGGAAAAACCCACCATAGAAAATCCACTCCTTAGGAGAACGACAATCTCGTGCCTCAATCTCTCGCACAGCATTAAGATCAGTTCCCTGTCCTCGTGATTAGTGTAAGCTGAGTCGGTGAAATCCTGGATCGTTTCCATGACGACATCGCAGGCGGCCAGCAGGGACTGCTCGATAGTCGAGTTAACTAACGTTACCCTAACTGTTTCCGCTTGATCCTGTTTAGGGCGTATACGAAATTGAAACATTGAATTGGGAATATTGCTAAATAAATTAGCTATTTATTTTAAAAGTAAATAAAATTATTTTACACGTTGCTTAAGTGATTCAACCTACATTTTCAAATACGATTCGAAATTTTATTCGCCTCCGAACCAAATTAAGACCGGGTGACAGCATTCAAGTTGTTCAGTTTAATCAATTATGCTTCAGTAAAACGTTCAGTAACAATGTAGGTATGATTACAAAATTATTCCAGAGATTTTCTTCCAATTTAATCTTACAAGTCTTCAATTTAAATAAACAAAAATTTTAAAATTCTCAAACGAATTAACGGATAAGAGCAAAATTATTTTGCAAAACATAAACATCTCAACTAATTTAAATTTCAAAATTTTCAAGCCACTAAAAAAACAAAATCCAACAATTCCAAAACCTCAAGCTCTTTGATGGCCTTAAAAGCAGCAACAGGCTGAATCAGAAACCCACTACTACTACCACCACTGCCACCGCTGCTACTGTCGCCATCAGAGACCACGTGGTGGATGAGGTCAAGGGCAGAGTTCATCTGCTTGACCACTGCATCCCTGATCTGCTTGGCCAGCTGGTTGTCATGGTGGCGCAGGTAGGTCTGACATGTGAAGATTCTTTTTATTCATTTCATTTCAAACTTAATATAATATACAAATTATAATTTACATATTATACGCTATAATTATAGTTACGTTATAATTATAAATTATGAAGCAGACAGCCAGCAAGCAAGCAGAAGAACCTTAGCAGCTGTTAGCAGCAGCATTGTAGACTTCTCAAGGACCGACCTCGCCACACCGACCTGTGCTCTTGACCTCTCACTTTTCAAGTCCTACACATTATCATAATTATCATAATAATTATAATAAAACTTACTCCATAATAATAATAATTATTATTATTATTACAATGTGAATGACACTAACATTTTGTCTGCCACCAGAAGCATGGGCCAATTGTACCATCTCATTACCAAACTGACTAAAAATTTGAACGAATTCGGCAAAGTTTGTACAACATTCGATCTTTTTCAAAGTGACCGACACCTGTTTGTGTGTGTGTGTGTCTGTGTTTGTGAGTGTGTGTGTCTGTGTGTGTGAGTGTGCGTGTGAGTACGTATATGGGTGTGTGTGTGACTAAGTGTGGTAAAAGCATGTGTATTTATGTTAATTCGTGTGTGTGTGTATGTATGTATGTGTGTGCGTGTGTGTGTAATGCCTGTGTATATGTACGTGTGTGTGTCGGTCTGTCTTTGTGTGTGTGTGTGTGTGTGTGTGTGAGCGCCACCACGGTTACAGATAATAAAGACTTTGCGGGTATTGTTTGTGCGGTTTGTCGTGGGTGCGGTTCAAAATATTTTATTTTAAAAAACACCCACACATTTGAATTAGTGAAGATAGTAAAAAAAATTTAGAATAAACTTTTTCCAATTGTTTAATTTCTTCGAAAAATAATTTGAAGCGATTGTATTGCTTGGACTCTCTGATTGATTGATGTGACTACCTTGATTGTATCTTAATTACTTTTAAACTGCCAGACATTAACACCAAGCACTTCTTGGGAATATGATCACGCGAGTAGTTATCACATCACATGCACATGTTTTAATGTTTGTTTGTCTGTTGTTTGTCTGTCTGTTGTTTGTCTGTTTGTTTGTCTATTTGTTTGTTTGCTTGTCTGTTTGTTCCAAAGTGTGTACTTGCATAGATTATTATCTACTAAAACCAAGAAAAGAGATATTATTTCAATCTTTATTAAAGTTAAATTATTGGTAAAATAAAATGTATTGTATTATAAAAATTCTTGGCCTGAAATTGTCAAATATGTATGTGTAACTGCTGTAACTGAGTGTGGGTAAAAAAAAATAACTGTATGTGAATAAGGACAAACAACAGCAGCAGTACAGATCCATTCGGTCTAACTTTATCTTTAGTGCCGATGAGCTGCTTAATGACCACCCTGTCTGCCAGAATGAGGACTCGACTGATGGCAGACAGCAACTGTCTAGCCGCCCTCACCATGGCTGTCTTCTCGGCTATACTCCTGGCCGTCTCGTCTGTCGTCTGCTCGTCTGTCATCTGCACGTCTGTCAGTTTCTCTATTTTGCAGCCTGTGTTTGTTGGTGGTATGGGACAGCGGTGGTTGGAAGACTTTTTTTATTAAAATTTATGTTAATTTAGTTGTTCTTATTGTTATGGTTGTTGCTGTCATGGCGGTTGTTGGTTTTGATTGCTGATGTCATTATTGCTATTGTTGATGCAGTCATTAAGTGAATGTATGTTGTCTGAAGAGAGGAAATTTGGAAAAAAAAAACCAAAATGAAACTCTCCACTAGCTTGAGTTCTTTATTTCATTTGAGAATAAAACAATAGAACAAATAAATTTAAAAAAATGAAAAATTATTGAATAGTTATTGAATAAATTAATTATTAAATAGGTTAATAAGTGAATTAATAAAGTTTAATAAATGAATCAATTAATTGAAAACTAGTAATAACACTTATTTATTGCCATTATCAACTTAATTTACTATAAAATGCATAGGCCCAACATTTATAAGAATAACTGAAATATTTTTTGGTTTTATCTTTCACAACATAGACATTTTAATTAATAAATAAATCAATTAATTATGTTGAAAAAAATTGTTTCACAAATAAACTATCTGCTAAATAAATTATCTCACAAGTAAATGAACTGATTAAATAAGTAAATCGAGCAAATAGATAAAAACAGAATACCAGCAATCTTAGCTTCATGACAGGCCACGCACATTTCCTGTTGGATTTCAGGATTCTCCAGGGCTATAGCCTCCCCGACTCGAACAAATCGATCGACGGCCATATTGACTGCCTGGCCTACCCTAACTAATGCATTTAGTGCCCTTTCAGATCTAAGGGGCTTTTCTTTGGCATTTACTAACGTTGTTATCTGTGATTAAAATAGAAAATAACAATAGTTGAGTCAACAAAATAATAATAGTACAAGCTAATGATTAACATAAAAATATAAAAAAAAGCATAACAACTAAATCTCTGTTGTGTTGTTAAGTCTTTTTGTTCAATCAAATACTGACATATATGAAAAAAGCAGAATTATTACATATAAATAACAGCAGGCATGTGCTGAATTAAATTTAACTTTTGAATTTTAATAATAATTTTAATTGATTATTAATAAATTAAGATCAGAAATTAAGTCTCAAAAATAAAATAAATATTCAAACAAATGTCTACCTGGTGGACAAGAGGAACCAACGTCTGCTCAACGGATTTAGTTTTGATGTCAAATGTGATTTTTGCATTGTGGTGGTAGGATGACCTGTCCTGACCACTGCCACCTCCGTCGCTTCCACTTCCACTTGTGGCCCCCGCAGATGCCATTAGAAGAACATTTCAGTAGTTCCAAAATGTTTTTTCATAAATTTTTCAAGAGTTGAGTTTGTTTGATGAGTCGTAGTTGTAGTTTAGTAACTTTAGTTGGTTGGTTTTATAATTTTTAATTAATTAACCAATTAATTAATTAATTAATAATGTGATTTCAATTCAATATAGAATATATTATAAAATAGATTAAATTTTTGAAAATATTTAAATTTCAAATCAATTAAAATTTAAATCAAACTAATTTATTTATTTTAATCAGTTATTTTTAAATCAAATTAAAAGCAAAATTAAAATAAATTTCAATTAAACTTTTCATGAACAGTGCAGTGTGGAATCAACAGAGCAGGCGATAATAAATAAATTAAATGTTAATTGATGAATTTAATTAGAATAATTATTTAGTGGGCCAGCAACAAGTGCCTATTTCAATTTTTGTTCTTTCCTCCACACATCAACTGATAAGCTTTCTTCATCAAACAAACGCAATCTGTTTCTATTCTATTTCAACTAACCAAACTAATACATTAATTCTATTATAAATCTCTAAATGTATACCAGTTAACTGACGTATGTATGGTGGGGATATGTATATATGCAACATATGAATGCATGTAAAGTGCCTGAGTGCGTTGAGATTACGATTTAATTTATGGCAAACATTCTTTGAAATGTATCAAGTGTATTTAATGAAATGTACATATATATACACACGTATACATGCATACAGACAGTGATTTATATATAATATTAGGTTATTTTATCTCAAATTCGCTAATTTATTGCCATTCATTTTATTTCTTTCCATAATCTCTCATTACAGCCAATATACTTCACAAAACTTTAAGCTATTAGTGTTATGCTTTTGCTTAAGTTCACTTTTAAAATTTGCTTTTTCGTTTGTTTGTGTTACAAAATATCGCTTTTAAAAATTTTGTAAAATGTCTCTTTTGGTAAATTATGCGAATAGTGACGACGAAAGTAATCAATCAGACGATTCGTTTGAAGCTGACATTACCACGAATCAGGTAAATGCCAAAAATTGTGCTGACACCCACACTACCAACCATCCAAATCTTCCGGCTGCCATTGGGTCTGCTTCTTTGCGCTTGCCAGAACCAAAAAACAAAAATAGCAATAAAGACGACTACGTTGATAATTTAAATTTTAACGATACAAAAAGTGTCAATATACAACCAACTTATTCTGAAATGTTCAAAAGTTTGATATTGTTAATTTTATATTAATTTAAAAATTTTTTAATTTGAAAATTAAATGAATAAAATTAATCAAAATAATTAATTTTATTTAATTATTTATTAATTATCTTGTAAATGAATTTAAATAAATAGTTATATTATGCATACAAAATGTAATAAATGCCATATAAAAAAGTTATATTTAGTATTATTAGTTGTTATGTTTCCAACTTAAATCTATATAAAAATTCTTTATTTCTGAAATTATCTTTTAGAATTTTTTATCAATAACAAATTTCTAATATTCTTTATTTCTATTAAGAAATTAAGCTTTTTCAATTTATGTTTTATTAAAAAAAAAGAAAATATTTTAACTAAAGTTACGTCTAACAGTCATTAGAATTTTTAATGTAGCCACACATTCCAATTTCCACGTACGGTTATTCCATTCTCTCCATGTCCACAACATGTGTTAATTCATTCCCAGTACATGCATACACAGTTGTACTTATTCCCACCTGAGCGCATGCATACACAACATGTGTTAATTCGTTCACAGTCATACTTTATCATTCAATACACTACGTTATTATTATTAGAGGGGCTTGCATGTTTTCAACAAAATTATATAAATGGTTATTTGTTAATTGCTTAATTAAATATTTGGTTCATTTATTTATGAAAGTATAAATTATAAACCAATTCTATTTTTAGAATTGCCCACAACGTCCAATAAAATTGATCTTTCTTTGGAAGAAGAGGAAAATGTAGAAATGATAATCTTACCGACCGAAACAGAATTAAAATTGAGAGAAGTTCCCCCGGCTAAAACGAAGAGAAAAATTGTGATCTCTTTGCCATCTTTTAACAATGTTAGTGAATGAAATAAAAAAATCATGTTTGCTTTTCCTAATTTGGCAAATAATAAAAAGAATTATTTGTAAAATATTTTTTATTAATCTAATAAAATGATTTATGGACATATTTCATTCGAACTTGGATTGTTACTTTTTGAAAATTTATTTTATATTTTTTGTGTATATTTTTAAAATTATTTTATTTTATTTAATCAGTCAGATTCAGAAGACGAGGAGAAAACCGTTCAACCTCCACCTAGAAAACAACATGTGAGTATTTTGATATATTTTTTTCATGATATTTGTATTATTTTTTATTTTTGTTGGTGTATGTATTGTATCTGTTAATCTATGCTTAACTTTGTATCTGTATGTGTTTGTATATAGCTTCTAAAGGATATGGTATTGTTGAATTTTTATATATGACACAGTTTAGAGAACCTTCATGCAAACAGCAAGAGACTAAATTGTAATATTCATAGATATGATTTTATTGTCTATATTTTTGACATTAAAATTAATTCAATTGGTAATTATTCACTTAATCAATTAATTAATTATTCTATTAAGTTACAATTTCATAAATTATCTAATTGAAATTTTGAAAATTTTTCATTTTCCACTAAGCACGGTTCCTCGCTATTTGCCTTGCTGCCTGAACCTACACTAATTCCTCGGATGGCAGATGGGAGAGTGGATAGAAAAGTGATCCCCCCTCCACAATCTTCAACGTCATTCAAACCTAAATCCTCACCGTCAACAACAGCAACATTACTACAACCTAGAACATTAAAAAAAACTACTACTACTACTACTGCTGCTGCCACTACTACTACTAAAATCACTACTACTACTACTAAAACCACTGTTAATGAATCTTGCATTAATAACAGTTCAAGTAGTGAAATGGATACTGCAACTTCAATTACTAAGCCTACAGATGCAGATACTATTAGCAGTAGTAATACTACTTCGGAATCATCAGCGTCATCTGAATTAGTGAAAGCTATGCCTAAAAATCCTAACTTTTTTGGTCTCCTGGGGACATACGACGACGATGATGAAGACGATGATGATGAAACTTTCAGTGATGTGGATGATAAAAAGATTGCAAATGATGACAACGATGATGGTGATGTAAAAAATTCAGAATGCGTTTCTTTATCGTCATCAACATCAAGAGGTAAAAATACCATTGATGACGTCACTGACGATCCACCAATCATAGGTCCCCAGCGTGGTTTCTTTGTTAACGACGACGATGATGACGACGACGACGAAGATGAACTGGATAATGAAAGAACAAAAATGGCTAAAATTCACTCGGCCTCTCTCTACAATTATAGCAATATGGTGGCAGATGATGACGCTATTAATTATGGTGATGGGAATGATGATGCCAGTAACAACGATGATAACGTTACTGATGATGATGTGACTAGGATTCTTACAAAAGAACAAGTATCTCATATCTTCTTGATATCATTTCGACTAACTACATTACACAAACACTAACCATACATTCAAGTAAAAGATAACTCGTATCTTTTTTCTTCGGCTAATCATCATTACACAGTTAACAATCATACATGCAAAACATACAACCCCACTTCATCAACAACACTGACCAACAGCTCGAAAGACTACAAGGCCGACCGAATAAGAAGCAAGAGTCCTCTATTAGCTTCATCGACGTCAAGATCTCCGATCACATTGGCCAGTATGAACTGGACAGAACGAAGAATCTGTCGATAGAGGCGGAAAAAGTTTCATACAGTAAGACTGCCAGTGGCGTGCCAACATCTCAACAGAAGAGGAAACATCAAATCACTTATTTGGCTCATCAGGTCATTCTCTTTTTTTCTTTCTCTCTCTCTCTCTCTCTCTCTCTCTCTCTCTCTCTCTCCCCCTTTATATATTTACATACACATGAGTGTGTGTTTGTGTGCGTGTATGTATTTACTAAATTGCACAACCTTATTAGAAACGATGATGGTGATGATGATGATGATAATAATTCAAATTAGGCAAAAGAGCGGGAATTTGAATTGAAGAACCAATGGGCGGAAAACAGATTCAACAAGAGACAGACTCAATCCAAATATGGATTCTAAAGATGAAGATGATGATTTCTGTGATGATTGTAATGATGACGACGATGATTCTGTAATGATTATAACGATGACGATGATTTTGTGATGATTATAAAGATGACGATGATTTTGTGATGACTGCTAATCGAACAAAGAGGAATAGACCCAGCAATATATTTTCAACAGTACGGTATTACTATCCTTAGCCTACCGACTAACAAAGTCAGAGGCCGAACAACACAACACAATTTGTGAAATAAATGTGACAGATGATGACTATGAATTTGTATTTAAATTTATCTCCTAAGAATAAAATTAAAATTCGATATATAGATTTTTGGTTGGTTGCAAGCTTGTAATGTTTATTGTTTGTTAACGTATATAAGGCGTTGTGTCGAGTTTGCATTTCTTCAGTGACAGTTGTTTTTTAAATATGTCAACACATATTTATGTGCTGACATTTATTTTATAACGTTTTAATAAACCAATTGAAATTTATTTTTCTCTTGTTATTCCTTATTTCAGAAAAAAAATAAATCAAATATGAAATTAAATTATAAAAAATATCAAACACAAAAGTTTTTCATTAACCGGAAAAGATGCGAAATCTAAGCAAAGAAAAAAGCGTGTACAAATTGGTACTATAAACTAAGTGTACACGTTTATGTGTGTGTGTACACACGCGTGTGTGCATGTGTTATTAATATTGTTATTAATGTTAATATACATAGCGCTGATTTTAAAAAATTTCTCGTCTCAGTTCTTGCAACTACCAACTGATTAACTTTTTCTCCTGCTTGCATGTAAGGAGTGACAGTATAGCCGAATGATGCAACTTTCGTTTAAGCCATTTCGTGATTGTATACATTTGCGTGTAAGAATGAATGAAGGAAAGAATGAAAGAAAAACAACAAATAGAATAATATATACATGTACATATAGCCGTACAAATGTATGTATTTATATGCGTACATAAATGTACATGTGTGTTTGTATGTGTTTTTGTGCATAGGAAAAAAAAATATATTCTAAAATGAAACTTCCATGAAAATTAATATAGGCGAATGGAATTAGTAGATGTTCCAGTTTCTATTATAATTTAATGTATCTGTGTGTGTGTGTGTGTGTGTCTGTGTGTGTATGTATGTATGAATGTATGAAAACCAAATCATTGATGTGTGTGTGTGTGAGTGTGTGTATGTATGAATGTATGAAAACCAACTCATTGATGAGTGACTTTAAACAGTTAAATGTTCTGTATCTATGTATGTATGTATGTATGTATGTATGCTTGTGTAAGTATATGTGTGTATGTATGTATGCGTATTCATATAATTGCATGCACCTAACAGAATCTACTAAAAATGTTTAACAGCGAGCAAAAATTTTTCTTAAAAACATACAAAAATTGTCTAAACATGCACCAATCTGAGAAGGAATTTTATTTCATGTGAGGAATTTTTAGTTATAATAATAATAAGGATAAAACAACAACACACGTTTAGACGACATTTTCCCCGAGATCGGGGGTTGCCGTTTGGCTACCTATGATGAAACCGAAATACCCCTCGACGCCATCCACATCTGTCACTCGCCTCAGTATCACGCAACCCAGCTTTCACCCTGTCCTTCTCCACCTGCTCACTCCATCCCAATCGCGGACGACCCCTTTCTACCACTCCTTCAACCTCGAACTCCAACGCTCGCCTAATCCCGACCCTTTCATCCCTTCTCAACACATGTCCACACCGTCGCAATTTCGATCTCCTTATCAATGTCACAATAATAAAATAATAATAATAAAATAATAATAATAAAAATAATCTAAATAACAACAATAATGATAATAATAAAGTGTCATCATTATCAGATGGAATTCTCATCAATTATAATCGATCACGGCTAATATAAACGTTAACTGAAACAATACGAGCAAGCGAAAATGTTTGTACATGAGTAAAACTGGTTGTGTGTGCGGTGTGTGTGTACGTGCGTGTGTGTGTGGCGTGTATCTATCGGTGCAAAGTGTGTTTGCTGATCAATAATTCAAATTAAATCATTTAAAGCAGATTTCAACAACGAAAAGATAAACCAACACAGCAGAAAACATCAATAAACAATCGTTGTCTTTAGCATGATCATCGTCGTCATCGCTATCATTACATCCTCCTCCTCCTCCTCCTCCTCCTCATCATCATCAGTGTAATCCTCACTCACCATTGTGACATCATCATCATCGCCATATTATCATCATCGCCATATTATCATCATCGCCATATTATCATCATCGCCATATTATCATCATCGCCATATTATCATCATCGCCATATTATCATCATCGCCATATTATCATCATCGCCATATTATCATCATCGCCATATTATCATCATCGCCATATTATCATCATCTTAATGTCACCATCACCCTCACCACATCATCATCATCACCATCACCATCATCATCATCATCCCCTTCTATGACGTCATTATTACGTCGTTATTTTTATTATCATCGTTACTCTTGGATAGTGGAAAAGATGATGTTATGCTTCTGCAGTCTTTCTATCAACGAACTTTCACTGAACAATCTTCCCGGTGTAAACACGCCACACCTGAAAAATAATATTAATATATATAATATTATAAATATAATTAAATAATAATTAATCACTATTATTATGAGTAAATAATTAATCGTAGAGGCTAACTGGCTAGAGAGCTTGGATCTCTCTTTTAAAAGTATGTAAGCAGATTGAACCAGGCATATGGGAGTAGCAATGTATCCTGGATCTGATTGAATAGTTGGTTGATTGATTGGCTGGTTGAGTGAGTGAGTGGCTGGTTGATTGACTAGTTGGTTAATTGATTGGCTAGTTAATTGGTTAGTTGGTTAATTGATTAGTTGGTTGGTTGATTGATTAGTTGGTTGGTTGATTGATTGGCTGGTTGATTGATTAGTTAGTTGGTTGGTTGATTGATTGGTTGGCCGGTTGGTTAGTTGATCGAAATATTGGATGGTTAATTAATTGATGATTGATTAATTGAATGGTTCACTGAACGTTGGTTGATCAAACGATTGATTAAATAATTGATGATTAAATTATTTATTGAATAGTTTAATGGTTGATTGATTGGTTGATTGACTGATTGATTTGTTTGTTTGACACGTCAGATAATGAAATATTGAATGAAAGCATGTATGAATTAATCAATCAACCAACCAAATGATCAACCAACCGGCTAATCATCACCCAATCACCTAACTGACCAACAATCAATCAATCACCCAACTGACCAACCTGGTCCAACAATTTTAGTTATGATCTTCTTATCAGGTGATGATGATGTTGTTGGCTCCTTCTCAGATTTTGTTGAGTAACCCTCCCCAATGAAGGTCATCTCAAATGTGCTTCCTTTCACCTGATTGGTGGAATGGTGATAGGGCAATCACTGATTGGTTAGTTAGTAGTAATTTTGGTCGTTGATTGGCTAGTCAGTGAACGTCAATTCGTGATGATTGGTTGGTAAGTTATTGGTCACTTGGTGATTGGTTGAAACGCAAAACAAATTTATTTACCTGAGCTCTGGTTGGCCCGTTCGATGTAAACATACCAAGAGAAAATATCCTTGGATACTGTGTGAAAATAAATAGTAACTTAAGAAATGTTCAGTAATAGTTCGTTGATCAAGATGATGGTGTCATAGTTAAGATGCCTAGCGCTGTGTCGGAGTGACCGGATTCAAATGCACAGCGATCCCCGCCCGTTACAGCGTGTATAACGTCTGTGATGATTCACCTGAGTTTGTTGATGACACTTCTTCCGATAAATACTGAAGAGAGTATTGACAAAGTTAGTAAATGATAATAAAATAATAACAATAATAATAATAATAAGGACTTACATTCTCCAGCAGGTATATGCCAAACTTGAACTTGGAGAAAACGAACAGCATGACCCCAATAAAGAGCCAGGAGATTAGGGTCCCCACCCCAGAGGCCGCTATGTACGGGTAGAATTGTATCTGATGGTGTCGGTGTGTGAATCAAAGTGTGTGTGTGTGTTTGTTTGTTTGAATATGTGTATATATATGTATAGTTAGTGTGTTTTAACGCGTGTGTCTATATGTATGCGTATGTGTAAATTTGTTTGTGTGTGAAGCTCTGTGTGCCGAACTAACGGGTTGAATTTTCTTTGTAATGTAGTTGAAGTAGTTGGTCCTCTGGACGATAGGTTTGTCTGTTCCAAGAAAGGGCAAGCAGTAACCACCCACCTCCTTGCAATAGGACAGCAAGGATCTGTATGTATGTATGTGTGTGTGTGTGTGTGTGTGTGTGTTTGTTCGTGTGTGTGTTTGTATGCCTGCATACGAGTGGTCATGAATTTGTATGTGTGTATTTATAAATGTGTGTAACCAATTAGTCAGCCAATCAACCAGGCAATTAGCAATCTACAGCCAGCTACAAGCCAGCTAGCTAACTAATGAGCCAACCAATCAACCAACCAACCAACTAACCAACCAATCAACCAACCAACCAATCAACCAACCTCTTCTTCAACTTGTATTTGGGTTCAGGCAAAGCCTGCGGATAAATCATCTCCCTAATTGACCTTAAATCTGACTTGGTAGACAAACTGTGAATCGCTGACTTCCATGTACCATCATTGAATGATCCGCCCTAGATAAAATAATTACGGATGGTTGACCTAGTTTAACGTATTTTTATTGGCTGACGTAGTATATTTTTATTGATTGACCTAATTTAATAAAAATTATTCTCCTTAATTATCAAAAGTACATTTTTATTGGTTGATTATTCTTTATTTTCTAATTTTATTAATTATATTATGTTATTTATATGCATACCTCAGGTCCAAATTGCATTTTCACAAACGACTCAACTGAGTTCAATTCACCTAAAGACCAACAAACAAACAAATATAAATAAATATACATAGATACAAATAATTATAACAACGAATAATTATAAATAAATATACTCAAATAGAAATACAGATCAACAAATACAACACACGTTTTGGCGACATTTTCCCCGAGATCGGGGGTCGCCGTTTGGCTACCTATGATGAAACCGAAATACCCCTCGACGCCATTCCATCATAAGTAATTTATTTGGCTAATTTTTACGCATGACGCCCTTCCTTACGCAACCACAGTTATAAGCGGTGGGCCTAGCCTTTGATGATCCACATCACTCACAAAGCAGTGAGGATCAGTTTAATGTCATAACCAGCACGAATCAACAAATAAAAATAAAAATTGGTAAATGGAAAAACTAAATGATGAGGAAGACGAAGATGATGTTGAAGATGATGATGATGATGATAGAGAGGAGGAAGATGGTATAAATAAGCCAACCGGAGAAGTGCTGTTTGGTGTATTGGATTCCCATCTCGGCAGGGATGCTGTCGAACCCGCATGCCTGCACTACGAAGACTTCCCTGTTTCTCGCCTCCTTGTCCATGTGCAATTGAATCTTTTCTAACCACTTTGAAAAATGACGGAGAAGATGATGAAGATGATGACGAGGAAGAAGGGGATGAGGATGATGATGAAGAAGGTGATGAAGATGATGATGACAAGGAGGATGAAAATGAAGAGGAGGACGAAGATGAAGATGATAAAAAAGATAATGATGAAGAAGAGGAAGATGATGATGATGAAGAAGAAGATGATGACGAATAAGAGGAGGATAAAGATGAAAATGAGGATGAAGATGATGAGAAAGATAATGAAGAAGATGAAGGAGAAAATGAAGATGATGATGACGAGGAAGATGGAGATGATGACAAGCAGAAGGATGAAGGTGATGATGATGAAGAGAATAAGGAAGATGATGAGAAAGAGAAGAGGAAGACGATGATGAATGCAGTATGATGAATGCAGAAATGACAATCAATATAAAAAATGGTATATGTAAAATGGCAGTGACGACATATCCATCATCAATAAATATTATAATTAATTTGAAAATTATAAAGATCCCAAACCAAATCACGATGATAACAATAATAACTGTGCTAACGTAATAAATAAAGAAAGTTGTAGTTGATGTCAGAGCATTTATATAGCAATTGTTTCAATTTCTCTAAAATCATTGAAACCTTCAACCTCAGTTTCTCCACTGATGTCAAAGTGATGAGTCCCTGATTCAATGCAGGCCTGGACAACAGCTGTTCCATAAAATCTGTACTGTCATGGGCATAGATATTAAAAATTGTTTCAGACATGAATTTTGTTAAATATGTCATCTAAATATTTTGAATACTTCAATTTAATTGTTATCTTTTTCTCCATCACAATATAATACAATGTAATAATACATAACATAAAAATAGATAAAAAACACAATAAAATATAATACACTATAATTAACACAATTGTTATAATATTTTATTAGATAATAAATAACTATAATAAATGATAATAAAATTATTATGTCAATATTATATCTAAAAATAACTTACTGGGCCCACACAGTTGAGGAGAACTTTGGTCTGTCTGCACATGTCCAACAAACTCTGTTCACTCTTGACATCTGCTATGATGATTGGCAACTCTGTGACATCCTGGCCTGGAAATAAAAATGATTCTCATAATCCAATTAATGTAATTGTAATTTATTTCACAATTTCAATGGAACATATATAAATGAAAGTATTTAAATCTGCGCAATCTGACATTTGCAGCACTACACCACTATCATCATAGGAGATTGAAAACAACATAAAAACTGGCAACATGTGAAAACGCTAAAAGCAACTAAAAATAAAGCTGACAATCCAAAATTAGCGTTGAATATGATGATAAATGACCTGTAACTTTAGAAACAAAGCTGAGAATTTGCTGGAGTTTCTTCATTTCACGGCCAGCGATCGCCCATTTGCCAATTCCGTGTTCCTCACCGATTGTCCTCACAATCTCCTCAACGACATACTGCCCCGTAAATCCGGATGCCCCAAAAACTACAATATCGTAAACTCTTCCGTCCGACATTATTTTAATTAATAAAATAATTTAAATCAGAAAGTAATTTTCAGTTTTTTGTGGGGAATTATTTTTACCCTAAATACGGAGAAACACGTAAGCGAAAGAAAGGGGATGCCGATTCGTTCAGCTGGGAGAAGTGAACTTTATACATACGTATATGTGTGCGCGTTCTAATTTTTACAAATAAGAGTTGAAATGTGGACCAAACCTATTTTTATGCTACCAAGGTCATTATGAGACTACAGACTATAATACAAACACATGATATATACATATTCATTTATTTATATATTATCTATGTATGTATGTATACACAAGAGTATGCATAAGTATGACTTTGTGTGTATATATGGCCACACATCAACCAAACTTTTTAATTGAGATTAATGGCTGGTTTAAATGAATAAAATACTTAAGCACTAAGTTACAGGCAAAAAACCACTTCAAATGAACTATATATATATATATATATATATATATATATATATATATATATATATATATTGGTAATAGACCATAATTTTTACAATATTCTATAAATTCTACCGAATGTTTGGCGTTAATATGTGTGTAGTTCGTTTTTTCGATTTATCTCATTAAAGTTTTTTGGTGAACGTTTAGTTTATTAAAATTGAAAATAAACTA